AGGACTACCAGGCACAAGAACCTCAGTAAGGCAATCCCACAGTTTGGGAAGCTTGTCAAATAAAAAAGCACCAAACTTCTCACACAAATGCTTTAATGCAAGCTCAGACCCTCTTCTACTTATAAAGCCCTCAATCCTTGACCGGTCTTCACCACCAGCTAGCATGGGAACCTTTGACTTTTGTTTCCCTGCAGTGCTCCCAAAGGTGAGGAAATCCTGATCATCAATAACCTCCAGAGAACTGATGACTCTGGCTTGAGGTGTCTCAGAAGGATCCATGCAAGTCAAGCTACAAATATTCTTAATTAACTTATCATTTGGGCCGGGCTTGCGAGTAATACAATGAGAAATAAGCTCCGCAAGTGCATCAGCAGTCTTCTGTTGTAGTATTTCTTCCTATAAGAGAGCACAAATGTTCATTAGAGTTATGTGAACGTGTTTGTAGTAGCAGAAAGTCTCTAAACTATACTACCTGCTCTCTCTTAATTGAAGCCATCAAAGGCAAAATAATTGGATTAAGTCGTGCAGGAAGCTCTGACATCCAGACCACAGCAGCGGCAACTAATGAGGACACTGTAACATGCAAATTATTCTGCAGATTGTTCCCATAAATAAATGAACACAATCATGTCCGAGGAATCTTATCAAATTAATTTTTCCAAGGAAAAAATAAAACAAACAGAAAACATATGGATAATGATATCAAGGATGTGAGATAATAACATAATGCATACCTGAACACATTTTAAATAGCCTGAAGTTGTTAAAACCCGTTGTTTGCACGATTCAATATCTTCAACGACATGCCTTCTCGTTGATTCATTCTCAACAGCATCATTACTCAGCGGTGACAGTTTAGATGCAAAACTGATAGCATCATCTGCACTCAGGTTTTCCAAGTCAATTTTAGTTGTTGCCGACGCATTTGCAAAACCAGATGACTCAACAGCACGTAACAACTGACTAGCCTCATTGTGCATTTTAGTATACGTTCTTGAAAGCTCAGCATAAGGAAGAAGCATATCTTTTGTAGGGAATGCTGGATCAGAACATGCTAATAAATCCAGCAACCATTTTTTGAGATGATCAGGGACAATGGGTATAAATCCTTGGTTGTCAGTTAGGCCTCTGTTTTTAATCTCCTTGAACCAAGAGATGAGAACCATAGATGCCACCTGAAAAGTGACCAGTTAACCAATACAGACACAAAGGCGGGGGTTGGATAGGAGAGGGCTTGCATGTATTACTATATTTAACCACTAAAATAATTACCTGACGCTGGACCCCCGATAAAGATGCAAGGGCTGTCCACAATGGATCTACTATAAATTGCACAGAACCTTCACGCAACCTAGAGGCAAAGATTCCCAAAGCCAATGCCGTAACAACTCGAGTATTAGTTACCGACATTTCCACATCGGAACCAACAATTATCTTAACTGAATTGGTGGAAGCATCACCATTTCTTTCCTCTGGGACAGTAGCTTTCACAGCATCAAAAACCACATTTCCACAGGACTCATTTTCGAGCTTCACAGCTTTCATTTTAGCCGCTGCTCTAAAATGACTTTTTCGAGGAGGAGCTACAGGCCAAAACATTTTTGTAGCATCTAATGCTGAGCCATAAGGAGTAGTTGCAAGTTCTATCCATGAAGACATAAATGACCTTGCAGCTTCTTCCAAGTCCTCAACCGGGCACTAGAAAGAGAAAGAAAGCAACAAACAATCAAGGATATAATAAAAGGCAAAACTAATGGTTTCAGGGGTAGTTCAGCATAATTATCACATGCATGGATTTGCACTACTGTCAATGCAACATGAAGAAAAATATATCCATGAAAAAGACCAATTTCTTTCGGCTACTTTTCTTTGTTTCCAGGCCAGATATCGGACATGATAGTTCTTTATCCCAAGGAACTTCTCTCCAGCCCACTGAACACACTTTCATTTCAAGTAAACTATGAGACCAATGTTTAACAAGTGATATAGACCGCTTAAAAGGAATATTGCACTAAATTACTTTCATAAACCCCAATTACTTAAAAGCAACAGAAAATATAAATCAAAATTCCAGCTACATCCAGGTCTCATGAACTTTTCAGTTCCAAAGGGGGCGCCAGCTACTCTTGCCATTGCATTAAAGTCTGTACCAACAAGAAGATAACACCATTTTCCAAGGTTTATAAAAGTAGGAAGAGAAATTAAATTATGTATTTACATATAATAATAATGCATCAAGGTATTTTTCTGTGTAGTACTTCTGCACTATATGTCTAGGGTATGCGAATGATTTAGTGGAGTGAAGATACAAGAGGATAAGAAGAGGTAGTTACTTAAATCTGGAAATTAGGACAAATACCAGAATAACTCCCATAATTACTCCCTACATTGAAATAAATTCCACAAATATGGCCTGCCATAGCCCAATATCAAGGTTGAGTCTGGGAGAGTGCCCAATTTCCCAGTTCATCAGATTTAGAAAACGAAGGCACCTCCAGGAATTGCTTTCTTTGCATGGGAGGCAAGTCGGGAATGCATTTTGACAATTGACAAGTTAATGACAAGAGGCAAAATTATGGTCAATTGGTGCTACTTGTGCAAGAAAGCTGCAGAATCCTGCAATCATATCCTCCTATTGTGTCCTTTGGCCTATGAATTATGGACAATAGTCTATGCGCTTACGGAAATAAATTGGGTTATGGTGGGTACTATTAAAGACGAGACTTGGGTGTGGGAAGGGATATGTAATAAAAGAGAGTTTGTAAAGTTGATTCTATTAACTATTTTGTTGGTGATATAAGAAGGAAATGAACAGTAGGACTTTTGAAGAAAACAAGGTTGAGACACAGAGAATTAGATATAGATAGTTTCATTATTTTAATTCTATTTTGTTGAGTCATGACATCAATGAGGATGAGGATCTTGGGACTATTGTTGATACACTAACATAATTGTAAATCTTTTATATATAAGTAGTATCCCTTAATATCTTATTAATATATACTTCATGCATTTTCTATAAAAAAAAAAGTTGCTACATGAACTACCTTTGAACTTTGTTGCTTACATTTGCTTCCAGAAAAGTCAGCAATCTTATATAAGTTTTAGCTTACTTCTCTATCTATTTTTACTAAGTTTATGCACCAGCTGACAAACACAATTTCTACATTCAATATTAAATAATTATTAGAAACAGAAATAATTTTTATAATTTTCATATTCTGATAATAAATCTTTTGTAATACCAATAATTTTATATATAAACTTTTAGTTTGATAATCATAATTATGCTACAGTTAAAAGCATCAACTTCAGCAGTAAAAAGTAAAATAAAAACTGTATAAATTCAGTTCAAGCAAACAGTACCATCAACCTTACAGCAAACTTAAAGGACTTCCAAATCTTTTGCAAAGCTGCAGCATGAATCACAATGGATTACGAGTTCAAATAATTCTTCATATGAAACAAAAGAAGGGTGTTTATCAAACTAAGATCTTGATAAAATATGTAATTCTGTCTTCTTCAGGAGATGATTCTCTAGAAAAGGGATTTTTCGACTTTTCTTCTTAACGGGCTTGATTTGATTAATGTATCTCCTCCAATTAAACTCATTAAATTCTTATTAACATTTTGTCTATTAACTAAATAATCCAGAAAGTGAAAATCAGAGTTTTGACAAACACATGCATTATTATCAAATATGTACCTGAACCAGCAGCCTCCATACCCTCTCAGAACACCTCAAAATTTCTTCATTTGATTCAAGTAGCAGGTTCTGAAAGACAATTCTAAAGGTATCACCCAAAATAAATGATGGCCAAAAGGAACCATCAGAGGGCTCAGAAGTATTCTTTTTGTATCCAGCTTCGAGAAGTCGTTCCTGCAAGTAGTCTTGAGCAAGTGAGCAGTGCATATGAGTCTTTTGCAAAATATTCAGCACAAGCACCAAATTTCCAAAGCAAACTTTTAGGAAGGTCCTTATCCTTTCACTAAAAATACAATACAAGAGTCAACTATAACTAAAAGAACTACAGAAATATCAAATATGCATAAATATATAATCCCTGAAGCAATATAAGCAAATCCTAAATGAAATGATCAAGCAAAACTCAGAACAAACAACTATCCATTGGCAAACAGACAGCCAGGCTCGTCTTTTATTTATTTATTGGGAAGGGGAGGAGAAGGGGAGGATAGGAAAAAAAATATATATTTTTTTAAAAATAAAAAGTATAAAAAGTAAATTAAAAGGCATCAAAGGGGTGCAACCTATGTACAAATAATTTACATCACAGTCGTCAAGAGACAAATTTTCAAAAAAGTTCTCTATGACCACCGTAGGGTGACCCAACATCCAAAACTTTCGGGTCCTAACCCATTTATTTTTTAGGATGTCAAAACCCTTAACACAATCCACTCCCTCAAAAGCCCTTCTATTCCTTTCCTTCCAAACTGACCACCACACAGAGAGTGGAATAACATCCGCAAAAGAACATGTCTCTCAAAAACACCCAAGCCCATAATTCATCTCTGACCGTCCCAGCCATAACCCAATCAATACCCAACGTTCTGTACACCACCCTCCACAGCTCAAAGGTAACAGGGCATGATAAAAGAAGATGATTGCAACTCTCCTCGTCCTTCAAACACAAAACACAGCCATTAACTATTACCAGACCCCTCCTCTTCAGTTTGTCAACAGTGAGTATACATTCTTGAGATGCTTCCCATGTAAAAAAAGAGACTCTCGGGGGAATCTTAAGTTTCCAAATCTGTTTGTGGAGGAATGAAACAGCTTCACCTAGAGCCCTAACTAGCCATCGGTAGCAGGATCTGACAGAAA